TTTTCGTGACTACCAGTAAATCAGTAATATGAGATGTATTCACCCAATTTCGTTTAAGGTCATGAAGGACCGGTAGAAGAAGAATTTTCCCACAAGCTGAGTTGACGCTTCCATTCAATTTCACATAGCCCTGCTTCTCCAAAAGTTGTCCTCATCCCAGCTAAAGTGGACTGCAGTTTCCACCTCGCATCGGTCTTATCAACACCCTCAGCGGGAGTCGAAACGCGACAGTGCAGGATGCGAGCTGAATACGTTGACCATTCGACCACGTTGCCACGAGTGCCCTTGGGCCACAGGGAAAATGTGAATTTCAACGAAGGCGAGGCATTTGCCATATCATATACTTTGGGGGGAATGTCGATGAAGAAAACGTATATTTGCTATAACATTTGACTACGTTACTTATTTTTCGTGTTTTAATATACTTTCGAGACTACCAGCAAATCGGTAATATGAAATATATTCATCCTATTTCGTTTCCTTCATCACCTTAAACAAAATAGGGTGAATACATCTCATATTACTGATTTACTGATAGTCTCAAAACTCTACTCAAACACGAAAAGTAAGTAACGTAGTCGAATATTATAGCAAATATACATTTGCTTCATCGAGAATCCTACCAAAGAATATGAAATGGCAAAATGCCCCGGCTTCCTTGAAAATTCACATTTGCCCTGTGACCCAAAAGGCGCTTGTGGCAGTGTAACCGAGTGGTTAGTGTGTTAAGCTCCGATCCTGCACTGTCGCGGTTCGACTTCCGCGGAGGGTGTTAATAAGACCGATGCGAGGTGGAAACTGCAGACCACTTTAGCTGGGATGAGAACAACTTTCGCGAAAGCAAAGCTATGTGAATTTTAATGGAATCGTCAGCTCAACTCATATCATTGTGGGAAATTTCTTATTCTTCTTCTACCAGTCCTTCATCACCTTAAACGAAATTGGGTGAATACATCTCATATTTCAATCTACATGCTTGCAATTGCATGTGCCATCATCAGAGCAGAGTTACAAACGATAAAAGTGGACGGTGAAGGCAATCCACTTGACCAATTGTTTGCTCAACCGTTGTAGTATCACTGCTCGTCCCATCTTGTGTTCTGAATTCTAGTGCTGCGTCTCTTTCTCTCAACCCCACCTTATGTGACCCATCCACTCCTTCACACAATTTTGTGCTATCCTTTCCTCCAATGTCGCCTAAGAATGTGTATAAGTGGGTTTAGTGAAGTTTTTTCATCTTTGTCACCCGTACCAGGTGCCGTTTTCAGGGCTCCTGACCTCTGGTCAGCCAGTCCCCTTTCTTCTACCCCGCTTGTTAATTGGTCGCTGTTAAACATCAAAATTACTGTATGAATGTCTGAAATATGGCTGCATAAGAGCCTTCAATTCCCGTCCCCGATTACGCCATATTCGATAATCTATAGCACATAGTGCCCATGCCAATACCTTAAAATCTGCTTCTCCATAGGCTCCAAACCCATGCCTCTATTATCCTCGTTCTCATTCCAACTCACATTGTGTCTCTGCTCTTTGAGACGTTGTGTCAGGGTTAAGTCATAACTGCTGGTGTGAAAATCCACCGCGAAAAACACATGCCACTTGTCCATCAAGTTGAAGCTACCATCTAACCCTAGGGTACTAGGATATTCATGAATGTGTTGGCTGGTATCACCGCGGTCAAGCGTGTCACCAGTCGCCTCCTATTAAGGCATGCACACGAAAATACACACAAACACACAAGCAGACACACTATTGGCCAGTATCTGGTCCACATATATCATTAGTATTTAATTTCTTATCCCACATCCCACAGGTGGACATCCCCACCCGGGCTAAAGTTTTGCCTATCCCAGGTTTGACTCCTCTTACTGCAAGTACCTTTTCTTGACTACCTTGTCCTTCATGAGACGCTCCTTGGCGACGTCCCTTCCTGTTGTTGAATAGTTGCCCTGAGTCCAAGTATCTTGTTTTTGCTGTCCTCGCTATACCTCCAAGTCTGCCCAGGCAGTATGCGAAATTATTGCTGACTCTTCCCTCTTCCAATATCCTGGTTATCGGGTTTCTTTGAAAGAGGATGCTCCAGCCTCCCTGATCTTCCGTATTCTGGTGTTCTTATATGAGACCAGTCTTTCCGTTGCATTCCAATCGCTTGTGTGGCCGGTAATGGTGATGTGTTTAGTTATCTCCGATCTTTCCGTATCCACTTTTCTGCATATTCACTGATTTTATTTGAACCTTGTGCTGATTGTCCTTCTCGTCTCTCCGATGTATTTTTGTGCACTCCGGAGCACTCCATTTTGTGGACTTCTTCATGTTGTGTGAGCGAGCTGGTGAAAAGGGTTGTCCTTTCCTATAGCTTGATATAATACAGTCCAGGGTATGGAAGAAAGTGATTAGACTGACTTGACAAAGGATCATGGTATGTGGCTAATGAATAGGTATTATCATTTGCGGCTTTAGGAATTGGCAACAATTTAAAGGAAATTCCGTATTTCCAGCTA